TTAAAAAAAAAAAAAAAAAAAGAAAAAAAAGAAAAAAAAAAAAGAGAGAGTATTATATTACACCGCTTTTTCAACTGTCGTGGCTGGGTGGTCTGCCCACTTTTTGTAAGGGACGCCGGGCCCGTTTCCCGGCTTGTATAATAAAATTTCTTTTGCTTTAAAAAAAAAAAAAAAAAAAAACCTGTCGTGGCGGGGCAAGAGGTGCCAGGAGCACTGACACCCCCTCTTCTGTGAGGGAGGAGTAACACTGTCGTCCCGGAGAGTATAAGCCTTCCTCCTTGAAGGCGGTATGATCTTGCTCCATCTGGCAGAGGAGGTGAAATCTACTCTCTCGACCTCTGACGAACGTTCCATTTCCATGGGGCCTCCATCGCTTTTTCCTAGCTTAGCTAACATTGATTCAGATTTCTTTTGAATGTGGATGCCCTTTGAGTGATCATCGGTCGCCAGAACTGGGAATCAACTCGGAAAGAGGGCCCCCCCTTCGATCGATGATTGCCGTGCACCCCCCCTTCCTCCCCCGTTTCCCGCCGCCCCGCCTACCCCACCCGTCGGCCTGCTGTTCGTTGGTTCCGTTGCTGATTTTCGAATGCCGATAGGTGGGAGCGGTTCACTGTCTTCGAAGGTGAGGCGAGTGCGCTGCTGGTGTGTGGGAGAGGACACGTGGCGCGATCTGAGCCTTCGACGTGGTTGCGTTTCGCCATGAACACGTCTTGCAGTTTCGCTCGCTCCGTCAGAATCACTCCCACTTTCCGTCCTCTTCGGTTATCGCCACCATTTTCGTCGTCCTCATCACGCACCCGCCAGCCTCCTCCGGCTGTCGCCGGCGGCTCTGCCACGTGCATACGTAACCATCGCGCGCGCGTTTCCCTCCAGTGCTCCTGCTCCCACTCCGTCGCCGCCTCCTCCTCCTTCCTGGTCGGTTCTCCCATCCCTAATGGCGGTGTCGCCGGAAATGGAAGACGAAGGGCTGTCGCGGCGGCGGCCTTTTCGTTATCCCAAACGTCATCATCCGGATCGTTGTCTTCGGAGATGAACGGTCTTTCGCAATCAGCCAAGCTGCTGCCACGTGGCGCACGGCGGCTGCGCCTCGTCGTGCTGCACTCTTTTCGTCAACCCCAAGGGCTTAGCGGAGCGGAAACGTCATTCACTAACAGAACAGCTATTGCCGGCTGTCTCTTCTCGTTAACGACGCCTTCCTCCTCCCTCTCCTCCTCCTCCTCCTCCATCTTCTCCTGCTCGCCCTGCTCGTCCTCTGTCCTTGGTCAATTGAGATGGCGCAGGAACAAGGTCGTGCCACTGCGCGCCGAGCTTTCTGAAACGTTGTCAGCCTCGTCTCCGCTGGTGGATCTTCGAGTGCGGGCTGCAGTACCGATAGCCACGACGAGGAGTGACGACGTGGAAGGGGGGGAGGAGGTTGTTCTGCAGTATGAAGGGAGGGGAGAAGGAGGATCAGGTGGAGAGGGGTTGTTGTCGTCCTCTTCCGAGCGCGAGAAGACTCACCCGGCGGGGTGGTTTGCCAGCGAGGAAGGGGGAAGGACCTTTTCCGCACCCTCGGGTGCGGCTGAGGGAGAAGTAGACGGAGAGGGGAGGAGGGGAAGCAGCAGAAGCAGCAGCGGGAACGGCGGAATCAATAGTGAGGGCGTGGAAGTAGCAGATCTCCCCGAGACGAAGAGCCTGTCCTCCTTGAGAAATGATGTTCAGTTCTCGACTTCTGCCGGTCAGAGCGGGAAGGAGGCATCGGTATCCGTTGAAGGGGCGACAGCGGAGAATGGACTGCTGACCCTTTTGACATCGCAAGGGTCGTCGGCGATCGGAGCAGCGGATGCTTCGTCAGCCGCAGCCGACGATGGAGTAACATTAGATGAGGCCACAAAGTTGTCCTTGAAAGGAAGGGAGAAAGAAGGAGGAGAGGAGAATGGGAGCTGGTCCTCGTCTGTTGTCGACGAAGCGAGGAGTTTGGAAACGGATGCGGAGTCCAACGACGGTGCCTGGAGCGAGTTCGATCTCCATCGACCCGCCTATCATCTCCAGGTAGTTTTTTTTTGTTTCTTAAATACCTGACGATGACAAATTAATTAACTAAAAAATAGAGATATCCAATTATATGTTGTTAGTTGTTCGTATGAGAAATTCATCATCGATTGAAAAGAGTAAAGAAATTATTGTTGTACTTTCAGAAACCTTACCTTCATCTTTTTCCATATCTGCTGACACGAACACAAACGACACGCGTCACCAGAACAC